AGGAGGAGGAGGAAGAGGAGGGGGAGGAGGAGGAGGAGGAGGAGGAGGAGGAGGACTATGGGGTTCTTGGTGCTCTCTGAGCTTGGCTGTTTTCTTGCACACGTTTCATGACCCAACTAAGTAGCAACTTCAATGCTAGAAGGGAATGGACTGTGCAGAGAGAAGGAGGAGGAGAAAGGAGGAGAAAGGAGGAGGAAGAGGAGGAGGAGGAGAAAAGGACTGTGGGGTCCTTGGTGCTCTCTGAGCTTGGCTGTTTACTTGCAGACATTTCATTAGCCATCTAGGTAACATCATCAGTGTTAGGAGGAGGAGGGTGGGGGGAGGAGGAGGAGAGAAGGAAGAGGAGGAAGAGGAGGAGGAAGGAGGACAGGAAGGAGGAGGACAAGAGGAGGAAGAGGAAGAGGAAGAGGAGGTGGAGGAGGAGGAGAAGAGGAAAAGGAGAAGAGGAGGAGAAGGGAGGAAGAGGAGGAGGAGGAGGACTGCTGTGGGGTCCGAGCTTGGCTGTTTTCTTGCAGACGTTTCATTACCGAACTAGGTAACATCATCAGTGTTAGAAGGTGATGGGGTGTCTGGAGAGGAGGAGGAGGAGGAGGAGGAGGAGGAGGAGGTCAAGGGTCTAGGGCAGGGGGGGCGCCCCCTTTCCCAAAGTCTCCTGACGGGACTCCCTGCTCTGATTCCCGCAGGTCTCGGTGGAAGATACCGACTTTGGCCGGCCGGTGCCGAAGACGGAGCTGAGCCGGGGTGAGGAGCGAAGGCGGCCCCCGGCCCGGCCCCTCCGGAGATGCTGAGCGCTGGGACTCCCTGGGGGGGAGGAGCCCGGGAGCCTCCGGAGCCCCCCAGCCCCTCTCCTGACCGCCCCCCTTTCTCGCCCCCAGAGCTGCAGATGCTGCCCTACATGATCACCATTGGGGACGCCATCCACAACTTCGCGGACGGCCTGGCCATGGGCGCCGCCTTCTCCGCCTCCTGGAAGACCGGACTGGCCACCTCCCTGGCCGTCCTCTGCCACGAGCTGCCCCACGAGCTAGGTGGGCTGCGGGGGAGTCAGAGGGGGGGTGGGACCCCCTGGGGAATGGAGGGCACCTGCCAGGTCATCGGCCATCTCCCTTCCCTCCTCCCTCCTCCCTCTTTTCTTCATCCTTTTCCTCCCCTCCCCTCCCTTTTCCTTCTCTTCATCCCTCCCCTCCCCTTCCTTCCCTCCCCTCCCCTTCCTTTCCCTTCTTCTCTTCCCTTCCCCCTCCCTTCTCTTCATCCCTTCCCTTTCCCCTTCCTCCTCCCTTTT